GCATGCGGCAGGCTGGGGTGCGGGCGGCCGCTGCCCACCTCGGGCTGCAGCCCGCGGAGGTGACGCTGCGCAGAGACCACAGCAATGCCCGACGCTTTGCCAAAGGCATCAGAGGCCCCTCAGCACACTGGGCCTGACAGCACTCTTGACTGCACAGGCTGCCAGGTGGGTCCTGCCCTGTCCCACAGCTCAGCGTGGGCCCAGCCTCATCCCACTGCCCCGGCTGGGCTCACCACATCCAGCACCACTCAGCACTGCCAGAGTAATGGCAGCACCAGCACCTTCCCCAGGAAGCAGGGCAAGGATGCTGCTAGGGTCCCTGCCTAGCTAGGGTGCCACAACAATGCTGTGCCTGTCCCTGGGGGGAGGGCAAGGGAACCTTCCTTCAGCCAGGACTTGGTAGGGCATGGGCAGCCTCTGCTTCTGGGAGCTGGCCATCGGGCTCCAGCCGACTGCCCCTGCCTCCACCAGGCATCCAGGAGCTGAACTTGCCCCTCTGCTCTGTCAACCTGGCGGCGGTGGAGACCAACATTGTGATGGTGAGCATCAGGGAGGGCTGGCTGTCCCCCACAGAGCTCTGTGAGCACCTGCAGGTAGTGAGCAAGGAGGAGATGGCTGAGACTGGCCAGGCTGTCAGCGTCCTGGTGTTCCCCTGGTCAGCACACACCGTGCGTGCCGTCTGGCACCGCGACGTCTCGGCCCACGACGCTGAGTTGGCAAAGAGCAAGTTGGAGTTTGTGGCCAGGAAATGCCAGCAGCAGCTGGCCCTGGACCTGCACCCGACTCCCCCAAGAGTAGGGGGGCCCCAATAAACATGTTCTGGCAGTGCTGTGGCTGTGCAGGGTGTTTTCTCCCAAGCATCCTCCTCCCCTGACTCTGTATGAGGGACACCAGCACAGCTCAAGAGGTCCTCACTGACAGACAAGTGCTCCTGAGGAGGTGGAAGCATCTCACAACCATAGGAGCAGGGCCACTGCACAGCAGCAATGGAGTTTGTACCTGCCCCAGGCAGCTCCCCAGTGTGCATCACCCCCAACCTCAAAAGGGGGTTACCCCAGTCCTGCAGCCTTCCCACAGTTCTTGGGGCTTCTCTGCCTGCCCAGCCTCAAGTACCTGTTTTTGTCTGTGCTAAGAGCTGGTCTCAAGGCCACACTTCCCTATGCTGGCACAGAAGGGCCCAGTGCAGGACTGGAGCTCTGTGCTGGGACAGGAGAGTGTCTGTAGCAGCCTTGTCTAGCGTGTTCCTAAGCAGCTTAGCACAGCCCCAGTGCCCTGACAAGCAGAGATACACCCAGGCAGCCATTACTGATATTTTATTTTGTATTGGCAGTAAGCAGTTTAAAGGAAACCGAGGGAACAAACATCATCACCCTGTTGTCCAGACCAGCCTGCAGGCCTGCCAGCCTTGCGCTCCAGATGGGCAGGAAAAAGGCAAGAATCCACGATAAGCTGCTGTCCTGGCTGGAGGAGGGCAGGGTGTGCCCAGGCAGCCTGGCGCTGGCACGCAGGGCTGTGGTTCCCACCTTGGTTTGCTCCCAACTTGCCATCAAGCTCTTGAAATTATGTTCAGAATCACCTGGGATGAGGACCCAAGCCTTGTGAGCTGTGCCTGGCCCTGCTCCTCCACCCCTGGGGAGGACAGCCAGTCCCAGTGTGCAGGAGAAGCTCCAGTGCACAGAAGCTCGCCTCAGCACAGCCCTCCCATGCTGCTGGTCTCAGACACGCTCAGAGCGAAGGGAGGATGGCATCTCTCCCTACCTGGGTGAGGATATAGTTCTCCTCCGACAGCTTCTCAATGATGTCAAAGTGATCCACACCAGCGATATCCAGCAGGGAGACTGACCAGCCAGCTGCACGCAGGGCCTGCGGAGAGAGCAGTGGTGGCAGGAGGGACCCCAGCCCTGGACTGCACAGCAGCTTCACAGGATGAGTGTCCTCCTGGGCCACAGCTGCCTCCAACAGTGGTAGATGCTGCTCGGTACAGCACCGACTTGGGCAGGAACAGCATCCTGTGGCACCAGGCAGGTGCTGCCAGGGCTCACCTGGCCATACTCCTGCGACTGCCGGCGGAACTCCGGGGAGTCATGCTGGGCCACGGCCACCAGCACCTGGCAGGCAGCAGCTGCGGGTGCTGCAGGGGCCACACACAGCATGGGGCTGTTCCTCTGGGCCACCTCCCTGCAGGAGACAGTGCAGCACGGCTGCCATAGCCCCTGGCTCGGAATGGGGGTCCCCTCCATGCCCCCTCCCAGGCGCCATCCCCGCAGCGTGCGGGCTCACCACGTCATGCCCAGCGCGTCGTTGACGTAGGTGCGCAGGATGGGCTCCAGGTCGTACACACCGCTCACCAGCACAGCTCCTGCAGGCAGAGGCACTGGCAGGTGAGGGGCCCCTCACACCTCAGTGCTTGGGAACTCTTCTTGCACTTCCCCTGGGGGCAGCTTGTCTGGGACCCCAGAGCCCTGCACCAGCCCCATACAGGCAGCCGAGCTGGCCTTGCCCTGGGTGCAGGCACTGGTTCTCCTTCAGTGCTCTGGGACACAGCGACGCTACCTTTGATGTTCGGTGTCACTCCGTACTCTGTCCAGTCTGTGGACAGCACCATGGCTGCCAGGTGGGCCCCCGCCGAGTGTCCACACAGGTAAATGCCCCTAGAGAGGGGGAGCTATGAGCCAGTGCCAGGAGTGACAGCTGCTCTGTGCACAGCCACACACACCACAGCCTGAACACGACAGCTTGGAGACATTTCCCAGCCCGTTGACTGACGCAGTGACAAGGGACTGTGGCCACTGACATTGCCCAATGCTTGGACCGTGACAAAGCCTTTTTCACTGCACAGGCCTGTTGCTGCCACAGCCACCCCCATGCACCAAACCATGCCCTGAATTTTGCCTCATTGATCTGACAGTGGCCACCACAGTGGGGATGCCGGGGCCCACCTGGTGCTGGGGTACTTCTGCACCAGGAAGGCCAGGCTGCGCCGCACCTGCTGCACCATGGCATCCATGTGGCCTGGGCAGAGAGGGCACATTCAGGAAGGCAGCAGGCTGGCACAGGGGGCCACCACCTTTGCTGGGCAGCACCTACCTTCAGGGGCTATGTCATAGCCCACCGCCACAACTGCCACACCCCGCGACACCAGTGGGGGGGCTGCGAACCCCGACTCATCTTTACTGTGGGAGAAGAGAAGGTAGGCAGGCTGGGGGATGCCTGGGGGCCACTCAGACCCAGAGTGCCCAGGACCAGCCTGGGTGTGGTGAGAGGGGAGCTAGGAAGAGCAGGCAGGGGCCTCCCTTTCCCCGCGATTCCCTCACCCCCTGCCCACCTCACCTCAAGCACTGCCAGTATCCGCCGTGAATATAGACCAGG